AGATGTTCTTTATTAGGGTAACATAGGGAAACAAGATTAGATTGTTGGAAGTTGGAATGATACACTTTGCTAATAGATCTGTGGCCTTGCAGGCGTGCTTGGACTGCAGGCCTCATGAGCTATAGCCAACATGGCCAGTGGTAAGAGTTAATGGGAGCTGCAGTCCAGCAGTACCTGGAGGCCCACACATTCCCCATTGCTCTGTTGTTGTGTGCCTTTGAGTCAACTCTGACTTATGACAACACTGTCATAGGATTTTCTTGGCAAGACTTATCCAGAGGGAGTTTCCCGTTGCCTTCTTACAAAATGAAGAAAGGAGGCTTGCCCAAAGTATGTTTCCATGGGAGAGACCATATAACATCTGTTTTAAACTGTGATATTGTTTAATAACCTTTTAGGGGTGGGTAGGTTTTCGGGGTTGTCTGGGATGGGACGGGGATTGTATTTATGTTAATGTTAATGCTGTAAGCCCCCCCCCCCACGATTGTGCTGCAGAGGGGTGGGATATTATTATTATTATTATTATTATTATTATTATTATTATTATTATTATTACTACTATTATTAAAATCCTGGTCACTGGGAATCCAACCTAACACTCAAATGACTACACCATGCTGGCTCTCTCCCCATCAAAGGGCTGACTCCTCATCCCTCTAGTATATGCTGTATTGTAATCTCTCCTTTTTCTCTAGATCTCACAGGACAACAAATGAAAGGATTAGTAAATTTCTTTCCTCTAGATGAGTTGGTGCAGATTGTAGGAAGTAGGGACTCAAAATTGCCTGTACTGAAGCCCAAATTTCTAAGGGTCCTCTGTTCTTTTTAATTGAGTAACTGGTAATAAAACAATGTTTATGACATATGAAAACCTCTCATGCTTTACTTATTCATTTCAAACTGTTAGGGTATGTTAATTGTAATATTAATTGTTCTTGGTATGCCATACTGAACTACCATTACAAAGAAAATAGTACAGAAAAAACTATGTTTAATTTCTAAAACCACAAACTCGTTTTCTTTTTTTTTTCTTTTGCTTTTCTTTTTCTTTAAAGAGACAGTCCTCCTCATATTCCAGTGAAAGAACTCTCCACAAAAATTGTCATTGATATTATTGGTAACTTAACTTCTACTGTAAGAGGTTTTTTCCCAGATCTCCAAGTTTTTCCTGCATTGGGAAATCATGACTATTGGCCACAGGTAAGACAAGTTTCTCAAGGGAGTTAATAGTTTGGTAGCCTCATAGTCTGCTTGTTTACTCATACTAACCTAAATGGAGATTATTCACAGGTAAATGTGCATGAGGCTGTAGCTTGAATCTTTTTAGATTCGATATAATGACTATGATTCAGTAATTCTTAAATTGCCTGCTTTTTTTAAAAAAAAATGTGCAAGTCCAAAATTATAATAAAAGAAGTATAACTATGTTATTATATTTTTCTCAAACAAAATGCCCATGTTTAAATAGTTTTGATAACCTTGTTATGTCTCAGACAATATCAATGCCAAGATTTGAAGATGCCCCTGAGTTTCCAGATACCTTCAGCTGGTTCCTTTTATCCGGCAGGGAAAGGTGGCACAAATGGCAGAATCTCATATTGTGCCTTTACACAGGGTTTTCAAGGAAGTCAAGGGGAAAATCAAGAATGGGGGCCATGATCCATTTGTAGTCTTGAACCCACAGTAAATATCCAAATTGGGTTCCCTCTGAAGCTGGTAATGTGATTAGTTAAATCACACAGGGCAACACTGTGCTGGTATGGTCAGAGACTAGAACATAAATGGAAAAGGCTTAACATTGTTAACATTAGGCGGTGAATTTTTTGATATTGACATTTGATTATAATGATGATCATAATGATTATATCCCACCTTTTCCCCCATCTAGAAATCAAGATGGCTTACAAAAATTTTTACATTCTAGAAAAGTTTAAAAAGTATAATTATATTACCAATAAAACTTAAAGCAGTTAAAAACAAACAATTAAAAAGAAGAACAGACTTGCAGCCAGTGGAGCTGTTGCAACATTGTGTGCTCCTTGTAGCCAGTCCTGGTTAAGAATCTAAACAAAATGCCAGTGTTCAAATAATATTGGCCACTTGGATAGAATCCAAGAAGATTGTCATAGAAAACAGTATATGATACTTTGATTGACATTTAGGCACAAGTGACGCTTCTTTTTGTTGACTCAAGTACGCTTAGTAAAATTAAGTGTCTCTGCCAATCTGGCACTTTCTAGGTTGTGATACTTTTGAAATATGCTTCCATTATGCCCTCATTACTATCCTCACATGCTACTTATTACAGGTGCAACAGGATTAACTGCATTTCTTTGGTTCATTACTTACCAGCTCCAGACATTTTCTAGCAGGAAAGTTGCACGTATTCCTCAGCATGTGAAATATGTGTGTGCCTTGTATGTACTCCTTCCATCAGTTTTCCATGCACCCTCCATGTTTATAACCTGACAAATGCAATTTTTTTAAAAAAGAAATCCCTTTAAAGCAATCAAACAATGATTAGAGGCGAATTAATTGTCCTTTATCTTGTGAGGTTTCCTACACAGAATTAATGTTCTGTATTTACAATTACATTGTAAATAGAAATTTTATTTTGCTGGAGGTTGCAGGTTCCAGCTCCGCCTTCAGCCAGTTTTTTTTTGTTTTGTTTTTGTGTGTGTGTGAAATAATAATAATAATAATAATAATAATAAATTAATAATAGCATGCCTGTCTTCTTAGGAATAAGTCCCACTGAGTTCAGTGAGACTTATTTTACTTCAAGATATGTGAGAGTAAGGACTGCAAAATAAAACCTCTGCATTAATGATAGTCCAGTTGCATCAAAAAGCAGACAACTGTAAATAGAAGCAGAATATGCTCTCTGTGGAAATACAAAGAATGGAATATAGGAACTAGCTCCAACCAATGGCACTACCTTTCTGCAGTGGTGGAATTGCATGCTTCTATGTGGTAAAAGGCCATACCAGTGTTGCTGGTAGGGTCTCCCACATCAGACAGGCTTTTGCTAAGGAGTCAGACTAAATGTGCCAAACATTTCCAGGCACATTTCCAGGCAGCAGCAGTATTGGGGTGTGACACAGGAGAAGGTTCTCTCAGAGACAAAGACAGTAGCACCATAGCTAGCACTTGTTAGTACTGTGCAGAAGGAGGCACAGTATGTCTTTTACCACAAAACCCCTGTGATAACACAATCCAAAATGAAACTAGAGATTCCCAGGTTGGGTGGCACTCAGTGAGCTACTGGGGTAGAGCACAGAATAACTATGAGTAGCACTATGGTTAATGATGCAACTGGACTTAAGTCAAAAGGATGTTCAGCTGTTGATGTGCTCAGAGGCAAAAGGAAAATCTGAAGCTACACAACATGAACTATAGCGACATTGAATGTGAGAAGCATGAATCAGGGGAAGGCAGACATTGTAAAACAAAAAATGGACTGTATAAACCATAATACTAGCAAAAAACCTCACAGACATGGGACAACTCCTGAGAAAATCAAGGAAGAAAGTGCAAAGGTAGGCTTACTTTGCTTTACATAAAGAAAACAAATACAGAAAACAAATGAATGGCCCACAGATTTAAAATACTCAAAATACATTCCAGTCCTAAAGAAAGAGGACAACAGGGATTGCAGCAACCATAGGACTATTGCATTAATTTTCTATACAAGCAAAGGGATGTTCAAAATTTTATAACAAAGACTTTTACAGTATATGGAGTGAGAAATGCCAGGTGTCCAAGAAGGGTCAGGGAAACAAAAGGTACTAGAGAATGATATTGTAAACATGTAATGGATAATGGAGTGCACTAAAGAATTTTAGATGAAAATCGGCCTGTGCTTTGTATATTATAGCAAAGCCTTTGATTATGTAGATCATGGAAAAACTATGAATTGCTCTTAAAGAAATGGGTATGCCTAAACCTTTGATTGTCCTGAGGCGTAACCTGAATAAGAGGTTACTCTCAGGAAAGAATAAGCAGAACCAGAA